ATGGGTTGATGTTTTGTAAGTGGGTTAGATGCTACTAACCACAGCAAACGTAACCTGATGGTCTTGGTAGAATATTTCATAATAAGTAGTACGTGAATGACTGGACAGATAAATTGTGTCCAGTCATTCACATACTACTTATTATGGTATATATTTATATATATACAATTGAAGAAAAAGGAGAGAGGTTTCCGTTAATAGTAGTTTGATCTTCTCTGTCACCTTATACTTCTCTATACATTAACGATTGGGATCGGTTCCCGAGAGTTTGCTCAATCACAACTTCAGTAATCTGTGTGCAGCATAACGCCGGACATCACACAAAGCAACTTACTTTGAGGAACCCTATACTCTGATTTTATTTTTACAAGGTCTATTTGGTTGCGCTGGCAGATAAAATGATTGCATCTGTGATCTGTCGCTAGTGCATGTTAAACTTTTAATACCTTCATTCAATCGGAAGCAGTCTCACCCGGAAATCGGGCCGGTATTAACGTTTTTCGAGGGGCAGCGAACGACGATTTGTTGTATCGTGATCATCGCCCAACTGTTTGCTCAGTTTGTTCAAAGGCCATATACCGGTACATTATTATTTCCTATTCCTCCAAAGTTCTAAAATGTTCTCAAACGGTCAACTTCAAATATAAATCTATAGTAGAGATCAATAATTTTTAATTATTTATTTTATTGGGTGTAGCTACAAACGGAGATAATGATTTGGGGTTTCCAGAATCTGTATTTTCCGGGGTCTGGGCAGTCATGAGACAGCAACGACAACCGGCGTACAAGGGTGCGTCATTAATGGTTGTAAAACCAAGCTTTAGGCGACTGCGATCGCCCACTGGACCAAATGGTCGACCTCCGTAGATTACGTTGCTTGGGGCATGTACTACACATGTCACCAAATAGGTTGCCACGGCGAGCGATGCTTGCCGAGGCAGATAGTGATTGGAATAAACCCAAGGGTGGTCGAGCTAAGACCTGGCATGAGGGTACGAAAACCCTGACCAGGAGTCTGGGTTATAAGTGCCGTTAGGCTCCCTGGATGGGGACCTCAGGAGAATGGTAATTGATGGTAAGAGACACTGAGTGATATGGCTGGGTGTCGTAAACAATGGCGTTCGTGCATCTTCTCAATTTCTCTGCAACATTAGTCCACTGAACTTTTCAATTTTCTCTTCGATTCTACTTTCAACCTTCCTGTCTTTCTCTTACCGTTCATCCAAACGGGCAGTCGAAAGATAGCGACCAAAACCGGCGCACGATAATGCATGTTTAATGGTTGTGGAAGCTAAACTAAACTAACTGTAACAACTGAATTCAATATATACATCCCCCCTTATAAAACATCGAATTATAGTATTGATTCTTCAATGGGCTGGCTCTGATGGAGCCGTCTATCTAAAAATTACCCGGTGTTGCAAATAAGGTTTCTGTGACAAAAATGCACTTCCTGGGTACAAGTATATGAATGAAGTGACAAAAGGTTACCGGATACGCATGCTTGACGAGCGGCAAGAACCGCGATAAAGGTCGTGTGCTTCCAAGGAGATTTTGTCTGGTCGATCATGCATTACTTATTATGAAATATATATTTATAGTTATATATACGGAGAAAACAGTTGGCTGATCAAATAGACACGTTGTAACTATAGTAAAACGTATAAGTACAGAAAAGAGACTCACTTCATTCCGGAACTCTGTGATCTTATCTTCCAGCATATGGTGATGTTTGATCAGTTTGCGAGCTTGAGCGAAAAATGCCGAAGGCGTGCTGATCAGAATGCCAAGCTGGAAAATGCAGAAAGAAAGAGAGGAGAAACGCGGTCAATTTGAGCGTAATAAACAAAGTGCATATACGTGAAACTATACTACTGTGACCGAAGATTCCGTGTGCGAACTCGTCTCCCGACGAAGGGCATATCTAACGGTATGATAGATCAGCTTCACTGAAACCACACAGGTTTTATGGTTCGGCGTAAACCCAGTCACGGTTTGGATACTGGTTTGGTCACCTCTTTCATGGTGCTAAATTTACCCGATAGGTAAATTTTGTCATCTAACTGAATACCACACCAAACCTAGCAGGGCTTTTGTGGTTTACCACTCCAATTCTCGGGGTTTAAGTTGTCGGTTTCCATAACTGAACAGTAGCTGCTCACTACTATGGGATTTATTATATATTGCTACATTTCACGTTTCTGAGTCTAGGCTGTGTCAAAAAATCACAGTACAATTATCTTTGTAACAAAGAAAAAGTTCTATAATTCGCTAGTGGGCGGAATAGTGCCAATTAACCAGGGCTAAAGCAGGTGAATTCACATCCGGAGTNCGGAGTCTTGTACTAGACAAAGTCTGACCCGCACGGCAGCGGAGTGATGTGTGAAAAGCGCAATCCATTGGTGTTTACTATCTCTGTTGTTCATCACACAAAACGATGTGTAATGAAAATCTGTTAAGCTTGAATAAGCAGTTCACTAGTGAATTCCGAGACCGCGGCAGTCAACGCCTGGTCTTTGAGCAATAAAGCATCAGGCTAACTCCTCTCAATGGCTTCTGCTACTTGGAGGATAGGTTCACCCGTAAATCCTTCTCGTAGATGAGCACCTATTAAACCAACTCTTATCTTTCACGTCGTGCGAAGTTGGTTTTCTATTCCACGACAGCCCCTTCCTTGTGCCTCTTTTATGCACCGTTTAAATATGCGCGACACTTGAATACTGCTGCAACGAAGGGAATTGAACTTTTGCTGTCTGACTTCTTGAGCAGGTTCAACGTAAAGCCATCCGCCAGATAACCGATCTCCCTTAACGTCTATTCTGCAATCGTGTGTTAGTCGCGGGGCAGTTGCTTCATTTTTTCCATTCCATTGTTAAAATTTTGACCATTTTTTTCAGAACCTGTTGGAACTAATCCCCATGGTCTCATAGCCTATTCCCGATTATCTCAAACACGAAGAACCCGAAAATCGTTTAGACCAATCACAATATTGAACAGCAAACCAAAGTTGATGGTTCCAAGCAAGTGAACAGCAAACGTACGCGTTTTGTAAAATTGCGCAAAAGATCACAGCCGTCCGAGTGCAATCGTTTGATGTTGTCCTCGAGCATTCGTTTACGAGCTAGCAGTTCGGCTTGCCGAGCTCGTTCCACAGCCAACTGTTGTCGCACCAGATCCGCGTAGGCTGGTGATCGGATTGCCGTCAAATGATCCATGAAAACTCGCTTGGTTAGTTCTGCCGATTGTGCAGAAAACGAATCCGATTTCCACCATGGGTACGAGTTCGATTAAATCGGAAAGGCGGGGGGGGGGAGCGAAGATCAAAAACACAGTTATTACACAGAAAAGACAAACTATGAAACAGAGGACGAGCAAGTAGGGAACCAATTCACAAAACAATGCTGATCCACAAGCTACAGCGGATTTACAGACCATAACAAAATTTAACACCAGGTTCGGAATTCTGGTTGGATCGGAGATATTGCAGAACGATCGAACATGTCAGAGCACGAAACGAGCATGAGAGGAGGCCACAGACCGTTGACCACAAAGCACTGTTAGTGACTGACGAAGGCGCATACATCAATTCGCTTAACCGGCTAAGTGGCAGGAGAGGTGGCTGGTTGCCTGGTTCTCTGGCAGGACTGCCTGCGATCTCTGAGTTTTCAAAGAACAGGGAGTGATCGACGCATACCGCGTGGCGGAGAATGACTGTAAGTGCTTATCGAAATCTAGAGGCCTGACTAAGAAATAAAATCGGAAACAAACGGTAGGATCTTGTAGAACGAATGCTATGGAAAGAGGATCGATGACGATCGACATTGAATAAAAGATTCTAAAAAAATAATCCTCACGAGCAGGAAAGGTGTGCAAAGACGCAGGATGACTTAATGCTTAAATATTAGGCGTGGAAAATTCTAAACTTAGATATTAGATATAAGCTCTTGAAAGAAACAGGTGAATGCGAGAGAGTTAAATCATTCTACTGGATCGTTTTAGTTGGTTTTCCGACTCTCCAGATCGAGATCAACTTTCTTAAGTTTACCACGCAGTTAGGCGTATTAAAGATCCAGGTATTAGAAGTCAGGTTTATACGAAATCAGTGGGGAAATCCTGTATCCAGACGGCACCAGGCACCAAAGATAGATGAGTGATAATTTTAATGTAGTTGAATGAGAACATAAGACGACTAATGCATTTGGAATGCATCGACAAACGACAGTGACCTACCGAAGAAGTTGCGCATCTAAAGTACAGTCTGAGACAAGTTATGGTGTATAATCGATCTTATCAGAAAACACCTTGATATTTGACGACAACAATCTTCCGTGAGCACGACCTCCAAAAATTATCTCTCTAATAGGAATCTCTGTAAGCCTCAGAATGGTCGGGGCTGGATGTCTTGGATTTTGTCTGATCAACCTTCTTTTAAAGTTCGCGAAATGCTCCTATACGATAACGCGTATCAAATAACCTCTCTCCTGAGGACGCCCTACTCACCAGTACATTCACGTGGAGACGTTTTCCCATCTAACAGAGGACGAAAAACTGTTTAGAACTATAACCGAGTCGGTGAACTACTGGCAGAAAACCCATTGAAGTCGACAAAAACCCTTGTTTCCCAAACAAACAAGAGGTGTACCAACCAAACCACACACTTGTCCCACTCCGGCAATGGTCTCGCGTTTGATCGGACACTTAGACGCATTAAACACTTAGGTCGCTTGACCGAACCCAAAGAGTGCATGACTCGATGACCTGGTCCGCGATGGACAGTCGTTTTCAGATTGTCGCGCTACCTTGTTGGTCTAAGGTTGGCTAGCCAACCACAAGTGAACCATGGAGTACTTCCCTGTCGTACTGTGATTCGTTTGGCACAGTCTGGGCCCGGTCGAGAGTAACTCTATCCTATAACAGACATTAAATCTTCAACCGGATGGATACTCTCAACTAGATTTACTTAGTTAGTGATTATAACTATAAGAAGATATGAATGACTAAAATATGACAAAAACACTACGCATTTGCACACCCGGAAAGAAACACGAAGCTGGTCGTGTATTTCCAGGGTANNNTACGTTTATCGAGTCATTCAGGTTCTGCTTGCTTCACAACAAGACATACCGCATAAAACAGTAAATGTGGAATCTCAAGTTCGAAGGAAAGTAAATGTTGGGATAAAGATAAAAATTCTTTGACGAAAATCTCTCAACAGGCCAGAAAAACGCACCCAGGTACTGTGTCAACGCGAACGGAACCGCCTGTTCAGAATGTCCAATGTTCGAATCCGAAGNCAATCTGGCTTTTTGCAGTGATTCCAAATTTATCGGCTGATAATGGCATGTAAACGAGGACATAACCGGATCATTCAGTCCATATGGTTGGTTGGGACCCGGTTTAGAAACTCGTATTTGTGCCACTGTTTGTGCATGCAATGTGTCAATATGACTGTTACCATCTAGACGGCCGCGGTTAAATGGACTTCGCTTCGGAGGAATCAATACTGACCGACCGTTAGGTGATCGACGAGAACGAAGCATAGTTGGTCTCCCACGACCGGGACGTCTAGAACCGAGGCCGCAAAACTTCACCGAGGACTGTGCAGGTGAGTGAGACGGCTGGGGTAATTGACGACACTTGCGAACCGCACGACGTCGCGCTACGCTCGAATCACCTTGTTCAGGTTTGGGTTCGGGTTCAGCAGTAAGAGTCTTATCGGCCTCGGAATCACCTGAGGATGTGTCAGGTTTGACCGTTTTTGCCGCGGAGAGGGACAGGGTGATTCGAATAGGCGGTTGATCGGAATCTGAAGAGGGAGAAACAAAAGAAACGCAATGTTGTTTTTTTAAGAAAACAAGCGGAAATTTTGGTTGGATGGTAATTGAAAAGTGATCTTTAAATGCGACTTTCGAATCAGAGATCATCTGTGATCCGTAAATCACTCCAGCTATAGAATGAATGTGCATCATCAACCTCTAAAATTGATGGAACCTGGAATATCCGGTGATCTGATGAATGAATCAACGGATGCACTAGTCAAAACGTTAAACTCTATACCAATTTGTGTACGTGGAGAAAATTGAAGTCCGAAAATGAGTAGGTTTTGAATTTGCTGTTTCACACCTCGACAAGGACAATGAACCGAATAAATAAAACCAAAGACTGACTCCACACACGGAAGAAACGTATACTAACCGAAGCCAACCGAGTTTATTATTACTGTATATTTGCAACCCCGGTGAATAAGTGTAAATGACTGGAACACAGCGGGAAAAAAACGAACGTAATCGCACATTGAGTCCTTTGGGATTCAGTCAGCTTACCTTTACGAGAGCCTTCATTCGAGTCTGTGGTAATGGAAGGTCCAGATGGAACAACAGTGCTCGGCTCCATAGACGTTCGGTCCCCGGCTATCAGTGGAGGTGAGCGTGCGATAGATGAGGGCAGAGAGGAAGAGACAAACGACGAGGAGGACGAGGAAGACGAATAAGCTGAATTCCAACCCACAGTACGATTACGGTTTGCAGGTATATGATTAGAATGGGCTTCCTCTGAGGGAGAATAGACACTGGAAGTAGACGGCTTGTCTGTCTCACGATCTGGTTCAGAGCTGGCGTGACTATCGTCATGCGCGCAACCAACGGATGAAACTGATGTCGATCCCGAGGGAGTAGTGTGTCCGCTACTCACAGTACCAAGACACGATTCTATATTAGATTCGGATGCCGAGGACGCTAAAAGTCGAGCATCCGAACTGAGAGATAATGAAGCAAGTCGACCATCCACAATAGTACGGTGCAAACGACGGGATTTGCTGAGCTTGGTCTTTGTTGGTGGAGTATCTGATGCATTCAATTTAGTACGTAACGCATAACTGAGTTCGGAATCCGCCCGTTTCCGTCTCTGTTTTCTTCGCTGGGCCGCAGCTGAACGATTGTGGTGCTGAGTATGCACTCGAATACGCGAGCTGTTAGTCCGTTGCGTGCCGGTTGCGGACAAATGGGCTTTCGATCTCGAACGACGAACAACAGTTGTGGTGGTGGTGGTACCGGTCGGGGATCGCCGAGGTTGACCAGTAAGTGCTGACGAGCCGAGAGACCGAGAACGACGACTGCGTGCAATACTCCCGTTTTCTGTGACCTCCTTCGATGGCTTGTCGGTGGCGTTCGTGGAGTTGATATGAAAGCCCTAATGTGATGAGAACAGAAAGAAAAGAATGAGTTTTTCGGTTAAAAATGTAACTCAAAGGACCACCAATAAATGAACGTTGAACTAACAGTAGACCTGTGGTCACAATGATTGTCTCGCTCGAACAAAGAACAAACTCTTAGAGGAACACGCCGGTACTTGATTAGATTTCAACTATCACTGCCGTGTACGGATCGTGACAAAACAAGTGAGGTTAGTAAATGAGTTAGTACACAACAGAACCGAGCATTCTCGATACAAGTCAGCAGACAAATATGCGGTTGCCACTCCTGTATTATTGGTTTTTCTTTCCTTCCAAGGCCTTTGAATCGCCTTGGTTTCAGATAAAAAAGCTTTGTTGTTAACTATCATTACCTTTCATATCATACACATTTTTGTGTGGTGAACAGCAGACGGGGTGGATTCCGTATACACGAAGACCTGCTGCTGTTCAGCGATTGCAATCCGTAATCTAAGCCCTGGAACTTGCAGTGGCGCACCACATAAGGCCCTCTGACGAGCAAATTCACGGTTTTAAACCTTGTTCCTCTCAAGGACTGTGAAATACCGGTTTCTGTGTTTAGAACAACCGGATATACTCATTTAACTTATTCATTGCTCAGGTTCAGAACACAACATCCGTGCATCTTAACACATTTACTGTAGGCTTATTCGTGGATCTCAGAAAAACCTGGGTACTGCACGAGAGTAGAAAAAACTGACTGAAATCGATGTTCAGCTCTCATACACACATAAGGCCTGTAGAATAATAAAAACATGCAAAGATTGCATATTCATAATGCATACATATCATACATACATACAGCATGCATATCATTTTGTGCACTGTACCGCAATCGCTATGCAATGGTACGTGTCTGGCGGATCAAGTGAGCAAGAGACTAGATGAAATATAAAAGTGCATGTCGGACGAATCGCTTGAGAATCAACCATCTGCACAAAACAGATGAACGCAAAGAAAGTAATCATTCACTGGTAGATGACTGTTGGAAGGGTATGAAATACAAGTCAACTATGTACCAGACCGATTAAAATACCTAACACGAGAAGTCAAGCTGAAAAGAAGAGCACATTAAGAAGAGTACATAATAGATAGTGTCCCTCAGATCAGTAAAGTGTGGAGATGTATCTTGGGCACGTGTGCTATGATTGAAGCACATGAAATGACAGTGCATGGATGCATTCTATGCGAAAGTTACCTACACACTACGAACAATCCTTATGCGTGAAAAAGGAAGCGGTATCAGGCCAAAGGAAAGCTAGCTATTCTGTGAATGACTGATTGCCGGACATAAAATACAGGATTGTAGCTGCTCACTTCTGTAAGCTGAGGAAACAAGTGATCGGCCTCCATAGATAACGTTGGTCGGGGCGTGTTACGCATGTTACCAAATATGTTACCACGGCCAGCGATGTTCGCTGAGGCAGGTAGTGGTTGGAATAAAGCCGAAGGTGGTCGAGCTAAGACATGAGGGTACGAAAACCCTAACCAAGACACTGGGTCACATAGGTCCTGTTAGGCTCCCTGGATGGGGACCTAAGGATGATCGTAACCGATCCTTAGAGACACTGAGTGATGTGGTTGAGTGTCTTAAACAGTGGCGTTCGTGCATTTTGTCAATTTCTCTGCAATATTTTAATCCACTGAAATGCCCAATTTTCTCTAAGATTCTACTTTCAACCTTCCTGTCTTTCTCCTACTGTTCATCCAAATGGGCAGCCAAAAGATAGCAACCAAAACCGGCGCACGACAGTGCACGGTTAATGTTTGTACAAACTGCCACTGTGAGGCAACTACCCAGACCATCAAACAATGATGTAAAAACTGTAGGAACCGGTTAACCCAGAATTTAGGTGTTATACTTTGGGTCGATCCTGAATGATGAGTACGTGTTAAAAACAGAAAATGGCTAGCGACGGCCGTGGTCGAACGGTTTATGTTACTGACAGTGAAGTGTCCCAGACACTAAGACCTGTGACGTGAACCCTAACAAAGCTATGCAACTTTGGTGGTAGTTGGTTTCGTTGTTTTCCGGCTCAACATCACGCCTATGCTACTCCAAGCCCGGCTATCGTGGATAAACAGTAACCATTTGTGATCAGGATACCGTCAGTTCATTTGATGCTTAAATTAACGCAAAGGGCTTCTCAAACTACAATCGTGGGATCCAAGCCAGTTTTACAACACCGTCTGATTAATGCATTGGTTTTCAAGTCTTTTCGGCATCATATCAACCATCCGCTTACATTCTTCAATCACCATCCTCTCTTATCTTACGGACGAAAGAGAAATCGTATGACGGTAGCAGTCGTTGGCGTAACGGGCTACGGATGTTATGCAAGAATCTTCTGAAACCTTTCAGATACAGGGAAAATGACTCCACCGTGTTCGAACAGATTTGAAATTTCTGTTTCAGTTAGCATTTGGAAGTATATTTGCAAGATGAATGTTAATCAATGGATAGTTAGAATTCTAATGGTTGATAAGAATGGGCGGAGTACTGGGACATCCGAATCGTCCCACTTGAACTTCATCTATGTTATGTTCAAATTGAACACCTATCAGTTCAGTTTGAACAACCATTAACCATGCACTATCATGCGCAGGTTTTGGCTACCCATTTGGATGAGCATTAGGAGACAGACAGGAAAGGTGCAAGTAGGATCAAACACATACAGGTCATACCAATTGTTAATAGGCTTCTGTTATAAACAAACGTGTGATGTGCACTGATTACTCTGCTCCAATTGATATAGGCACGCGAAATAACTAGATATTCATCCGAAGAGACATGGCAGCCATCCGCGTTGAAACTGCTAAGTTTAACACGGCATGACCGCCCTCTTCGATATTTATTTCAGTTCGCTAAACCCCAATGGAACAGTGTTTTTAGTTATGGTAACTTTAACGTCAACCAATACGCAATTTGTCACGTTGTGCTAAGGTGTGACCGCCACGTTCGGGATCCATTTCAGTTTATCAGCCAATAAACGGGCACAGTGCTCCAATGACCTTCACTCGGGTCATACCAAAGCCGCCATTCATTTCAATAAACAGCCCATCCGACAACAAGCGCTACATGCGACTTGGAAAACGTGGCTTGTAACGAATGAACAACTGTTTCAGTATCCGACGTTTATTACCTCACACTCGACTGACGATATGAGGACAATTATGTGCACGGACTGATGATACCCTTTACACATTACTCGCAGCCGTGAAGAATACAGCAAGTACGTGAAAATTGACCTTTTTCGTTTGGGTCAAGACGAATAAAGATTCAGAACGAGAAAGAACATCAAAGAAAACATGCGCAGATGTCACGAAACTTCAACTTAGATTGCACCATTAAACAAGATGTTGCTAATTAAATGAGGCTTTTCGAGGAACCTTTGCATGTGGCATGATGTAAAAAGTGAGCTGTATGGGTTGCCATTCAACAAGATTTCCTCGCTGCACAGATTGTACAAATGAGTGACGAGGTGCATTAGGCACCCTGGACATAAGAGGCCTAGCCGGAGGGTGTATGGTCCAATCAACAAAACAGTTCAGTTCAGTTTCTACCACCATTAACTATGCACCTTCGTGCGCCGGTTTTGGTTGTTGTCTTTTGGTGCCCCATTTGGATAAAACAGCAGGATGAATGTTGAAAGCAAATTAAAGCGGAAGATGGAGAATTCATATAGAATGATATTAGGGGAATAATGAGTGGATGCACGAGCGCCACTGTTTGCGACATCCATCCATATCACCACTAGATTGTGAGTTTGTGGCACCAGTTTTTCGCGTTGTAGGTTATTCTCTTATCAGGATGACATCTTTTAAGTCGATTTCGTACGATTCAGCATCATTATATTTCACACTTGTCTGAGGATAAACTGTGTGCCAAGCAAATCATGGTACAATAATCTTTATAAAAAAGAAAAAAACGTTGCATGATTGGCTTGAGGGCTGAATACTGCCAGATTGCCCAGGACAAGGCAAGTGAATGTTATTGAGGAATCCACAACCGGAGCCTTTGGCTAACCAAAGCCTGACCCTCAAGGCAGCGGGGCGGTGTGTGAAAATCGCAGTCCATTGGAAGCCGGTATCCGGTCCATCGGATAATTCGCCCTTCGGACGGGGTCAAACGTCCAAGGTGTCCAATACACCTCAATGCCCAATCGAG